TCAGTGGGACAAACTTGAAAGCATAGTCAAGAAAGACGGTGAGAGCAACCAACAAGCAAGAAAAGTCTGTTGCGCAATACAGGGGGGTTAAGCCGACTGAAAAGGTCGGAAAGGTCAAAGCTTAAGAGAATAATAAGTTGAGAGGTTCGGAACCTTTTCTGAATAGAAATCGGAACAGAATTTTCTCATAAATTAGATATGCTACATTACACTTTATCTAATGGCCGTATTTGTTGCGCGTCATAAGTTTTATCCACCAATATTAGTGCTTTTATTTGAAGAATTTGGTCAGCTTTTTAACTAGACTGTTGGCATGTGAAAATTCAAGAAATCCTACCAGTCTTGAAGTTTTAGAAAGAACATTCAAAAAATGCTTTTATAACGCACCGTAGTGTAATTTTAGCTAACTACCATGACATGCTACCTGGCTGGAAACGAAGATCTGGACATTACGGGATTGCACAGAATTGCTGCTTGCAGCGCTGCACTATTCAATACTTGAAAACACATTGTGCATTCTGAAGATTTTTAATAGGTACGGAGTCGAAGGAGTAGACAAGCACTTCTGGGAATCTTACTTTTTTCATTAGGAATCCGTTGCCAACTGACACTATATAAAAAATGCTAATACTAAACAGTGCATTCCTTGAAACCATAAAGGTCAATGAAAGCGCCTCATTACAAACTTTTTTAAGGTACCTAAACTGCATCTATTTTCTTAATACGTGTATCCTCCAGAATCCTAAATTGTATTCGTACGTTGTGTAGATTGAAAACAGCTATAATAAACTATTTATTAGTTCTGTCAAGACGAGAACTGAATGTGCACAAACCAAATACTTTTCTGTGAAGAGCAGTTTCTGATTTTCCGACCATTTGTAGTGGTGTCCATTGATGTTATGCGAATATTGCTAAAATTTATTTGCGGTAATTACAAAATGCATGATGGACAAAGTTCGCAATGCCAGTTAAAAAAACAAGTCACGCTTTCCAACGTTCGTGAAATGACAGGGGGCAAAGACGTCTGGCTTCTTCCTCGTTTTCACCGCTTCTTGTCAGCAGAGAAAATAAAGCATTTATCCTCCATTCATCTGCTGTTTCACTCATTCGTAACACACACAGTGCTCCACAAAGCACTGACTTTAAGTTGATATGCGTTCTGCAAAGTCGGGTATGCGCCAAAATCACACTACGCGATCACACCGGAGTTCCCGACGCTCACCCCAACATGGTGCCGCCGATGCGCTAACTTGGTTAATACCATACGGATAAAATACGTGATGACTCACTGCCAAGCTAACTGTTAGGATAGGAGGCCGAAGATCCTTAAGCTCTTCGGAACAGGCATTGCAGTATATAGTTACCGCGGTGAGCGTTGGGAAAGGAACAGTCAGTCTGGGCAATTGCCAACTTCCTACTGACTCAGCGTCAGCCACGTTATGTAAAGGGGGGCACTGAACAACAATATGCTGCTACGATTATGCAGTAATATGGAGGATATTACAGATCTTTGGAAAAATTTTGCATATATATAAGTGTTTATGAGAAAATTATATTTCGTAGTTGTTCTTGTCTCCCAAGTATTTTTATGTCAAACGTCTTGGTTCTAATAGTTCGCTTGGTCATATCTGTTCCTCTTTGTTCTTGCTGGAGAGCGTTAAAAACTTGAGGTGTCGTTGAAAGAACGGTAAATTAATTTTGCTTTGAAAAACTGTGTGAACTTGTTTTGTTCCGACCATGTTGCTCAGGTTTGATCCTCCTGGCGCCATCTGGATGCCGAAAATACTCAGTTTTAGCCTTGAATTACCAGACGATGCGTGTTGCTAATGGTGTAATCCAGTCCGCGTTATGTGTTGACTCTTTTGCCTTATCTTCAAACTTCAAAGCGAAAGAGCTGTTTGGAAAGACTGGTAATCTAGGTCTGAAAGAGAGTGAGGGACGGTTGTATTTTTAGTCGAAGTTTTAGCTGCGTGAACTAAAGGGGTACTGAAGTGAAAGTAAACTAAGCGCTAACGAAGACGAAGGAGCCGGCTTAGTTGGAGTTACTTTTTTTTTTGCGTTGAAAAAGTTCCTCCTTGAAATGCTTCCGTACGACCCTGATTTTTTAGTTCAGTAACAGCGCTGAAATGAATAATTCCCTTTACATTAATACGTAATTGCAAAGGCTTTTGGTTCTACGTTTTTGTAAACAAAATTACGTTTGGTAGGAAGCCGCGTCAACAGGTATTTGGTGTTCTTAGACGAGGACCTCTCGGCAAAATAATATTTTTATTCTATGTTAGTATGTGTATAGTTTGATATACTAATGTATTCCACACTGTTTCAAATGGTTCATTTATTTCAGATAAACAAGTATGGATTTTCTGTTTGGTCGCCGCAAAACTCCTACTGAGATGCTTCGACAGAATCAACGAGCACTAAATAAGGCAATGAGAGAGCTAGACAGGGAGAGGTCAAGACTTGAAATGCAGGAAAAAAAAATTATAGTGGACATTAAAAAGATGGCTAAGATGGGTCAAATGGTAGTGTATTAATTCCTCGGCAGTAGCTTTTGGGATGTAGCAGACTACAACAACCTAGTTAAATAGTGAATGGTTGATTATTCATATATATATATATATTTGTGTTAAAGGAGTCAGTAAAAGTGATGGCTAAAGATCTTGTTCGAACTCGACGTTACGTAAAAAAATTTGTAATGATGAGAGCGAATATTCAAGCAGTGTCTTTGAAGGTATGCCTGTAATAAGACGTATTAACCAGACGTCTTATCTGATTTTTTGTTCACGTCTAAAATTTTGCTTTCAGAGGATTTAAGTCTGTCTAAATTAGTATATGCTTTAATTCATTGGTTTTGCAGTCAAGGAAAGCTTAAATTTAATTGTTTTCCTTATATTTTTCCAGATTCATACTTCTTTTTTTTTCTTCTTTGTTAAGCTACCTTTGTTAGAATACAGAAGATTTTGGTAATTTACTATTCCAACGATTCTGTTGCAGGTACAAACTCTAAAAAGTCAAGATGCCATGGCACAAGCTATGAGAGGGGTAACGAAAGCAATGCGTAGTATGAACAAACAGTTAAACCTACCACAAATACAAAAGATAATGATGGAGTTTGAGCGACAATCGGAGATCATGGACATGAAGGAGGAAATGATGGGAGAGGCTATAGATGACGCAATGGCTGATGAAGGTGACGAGGAAGAAACTGAAGCTGTGGTTTCTCAGGTAAGAATCGTCAAGAACTTCAAGTTTTATGAATGCTAACTTCTTGATACCAGGCCCGTCTTTGCAGCTTAGTGAAGTAGTCCAAAATACCTTCAATAAGTGCAAAAGAAATTTATCAATTCGAGAAAATGCAAACTGCGAAAGAAAATATATGGACATTGAAATATCAGGATTAATAATTTAAATATTGTGTTCTCTTCTCCTCCCTCATTTTATTTCACCCTACTTCCCCAGCTAAGCCCTCTTGAATTACATGATACTTATACACACAGTTGAGTAAAACGTTCCCTGATGACTTTCAGGACTCTACACTATCTTCTTCACTGATCGTTAAGAGAGTAACATAACCCAGCCGCAAAAAAAACAAATCTTACGAACAAACTCAATTATAAATACAAATTAGCAGATTTTTACAAAGATAAATGCGCAAAAGATATCGGGTGGCTTTGAGGACCTACTAGGCTGAGAAGCAAGAAATGTAGCGAAATCACAGTAAAAGTCATTTAGCGATGTTAGTTTTGACTAAACCGGATATGGGGAAAGATTTCTTGAAAGGTTGCTACTGAGTGAATGTGTTCGTGGATTACTGGAAATTTATTCCGGAGTAGGCTATCATCTTAAAATCGAGTTCTGGATCTTTATTTGAACGCAGTTACATAAGAATTTTCATTCAAGTTATAAATCAACAGTAGTAAGAGGAAGTTAGCGGCAGTAAGTTTGTGGCGAAAATTTAGTCTGAAAATGTGAGTAGTAATTTTTTTTTTTTTTTTT